ACGGCTTTACAGTCTGGCACATTAACCCATAGCACCACACCAGGACTTCATAGTATAGACAAAATGCTTCTCAGAATCAAGGATGGTGAGACTTTGTCTCATGTTCTTTGGAACTGTTATCAGGACAGACCAGTTCCTAGGGAACGTAATGCTTGGAAAAGTAGAGGGTCAACAAAAAAGAGACCACCCTCAACAATATGGATTGCCACAGTGGTTGTAACAATGGACTCAAACATAGCAACAATTGTGAAGATGGTTTTCGGACTGGGCAGAGTTTCATTCTGTTGTATATAGGGTTGCTATGAGTTAGAACGGGCGGGCCCTATGGCACCTAAAAACAACAACGTTATAATGATATAAAGCATATTTTTTAACAGGATGTCAAATAGGCATCTCAAACCTAATATGACCAGAGTAGAATTAACTTCCTTCTTGCTCCTCTACCAGTTTACTCCATCTCAGTAATCAGCATTGCTTCCCAACAGCCCAAGCCCAAACTGAGTCATCCTTGATTCCTCCCTTACTCTGATCCTCAAGAAGCCCTGTAAACTCCACATCTAAAGAAAACACTTCTCTCCCAGTCTCTAGTGCCATCATCCTGAACTAGGCCTCTGTCACTTCTACCTGTTGTTAGCTACTGTTAAATTGCCCCTTATTCCTGGCAACCTCACACATAACAGAAACTGCCAGTTCCTGTGCTATCCCCTATCTAGACTACAATATCCTACTTAATTCATCAGCCCCACTTTTACTCATTCCATACTTATCAGCAAAGATGATCTTTAAAAAGAGAAATCATACCAACTGCTCTGAAAGGGATCACATTAGAGGGTCCCAGATAGGGAGAAAAAGTGGAATAAAATTTTAAATTCTTTAATTAACAAAAAAGACCGGCCTTGCTGCACTTCACGGCCAGGTTAGTTTGAACTGCAAGTCAGTGGTTCAAATTCACCAGTGGCTCCCAAGAAACCCTATACAGGGATGCTAGGAGTCAAAACTGACTTCAACAACAATACTAGTCAAAAGAGACTGGAGGAGTCTGAGAAAACTGAGACTAATAGCCACCCTCGACCACTCTTTTTGGTCTGGAAAGGAATGCACCCGCAAGGCCCAATTTTCAATCAAGCAGCATCAGTAAGGAATGCTTACAATGGTCAATCATTCAAAATCCAAAGGGCAACATTTTCTTAAAGACAAAATGATGGGGACTGTGGGTGGAATGCAAATAGGAACTACAAGAAGAAGTGGGGTGACCATTGGTTCATAGAGGGGATTGCAATCATTGAGATGAAACAAAGTGTATGATTTGTTTAAAGCTGATGATTTTGTCTATAAACCTTTACTCAATTCACAATAAAAAGTTAAAAGAGATAAATCATATCTTAATGCCCTCTTACCCAAAACTTCTCACTGACTTACCACTGCTCAATAGGAAATTTAAAAAAAAAAAATTTGTGATCCTGCAAGCTAGATTTCCAGCCTTATCTCAAACTTCCGTAAAATTCTCTTTACTGGCTACACGGCTACCAAAGTGACCTTTTTGTTTAACAAAGTAAACCTTCACAGAAACTCTGGCATACCCGGGAGTGTTTCACAGTTAAGGTATAAATTTAAATGAAGTGTCACCTCCTTAGGCAGGCCTTTCCTGACCGTAACACTAGGTAAAACAGCTTCCTCATTCTTTCATCACTTTGTATATTTCCACCATAGAACTGACCATACTGTATGTTAATCATCTTGCATATTTCATTCATAATATATAAATTCTAGGCACAAGAGATATTGTGGTGAATTTAAACTTTTATAGAAATGAAAAACAGAAAGAAATTAAGCTTATCATAAGTACTATGAACATTAGGACTCCTGGTGTGACACTGTAGGATCAGCACTGAATTCAGAACAAGGTCAGCAGTTCAAGCTGCTCCTCAGAAGCCCCTATACAGGGTTATGAGTTGGATTCAACTGGAGAGCAATTAACAACAGTTAGAAAAAATAAACAGTTAAAAGAAATACGGTACATGAAGGGGTGTATAAGTGACAGCATGGCATCTATTTTAATAGGTAGACAGATCTGAGCCAATCTGAATAAAGTAAATAATGTAACTAGATGAAACTTTGTGGTAAGATTGTCCTAAGTGAATTGTTTTAAAATTTTTTACTGAAGCGTCTCCTGCTAGAATATAAATTCTTTGAGGGAAGGGACTTTGATTATCTTATGCACTGCTATACTGACCCTGGTACAGTGCCCAGCACAGAGCAGGCCTGCTCTAAGGGAATGAATGAAAATATACTTCAGTTTTTCAAAAAGTTTAGTGGAGAGTTAAGTAAGTACAATATGTAAATGTTTAAATATTAAATCTTAACATCTATGTCAAAATGTTTTGAAAACACAAAAACACAGTAATTACAATGGAGTATTTTATTATCAAAGTGTATGGAACCAAAAGGATCATGGAAAATCAAACACATATACAAGAGGTTTCAAAAATTTCATGGAAAAATGGGATTAAAAGATCATGGAATTTTCCACAAACTTTCTGAAGTACTTCTAAATATCATCCCATTAAATTTTAATACAATATATGAAAATCTGATTTAAGAAACTAAAACCCTTGCTTTTCTTTATTGTTAAGTATTGTCAAGTCATTTCTGACTCACAGCGATCCTGTATAGGGTTTCCAAGAAGCGGCAACAGAGCCAAACCAAGACTCCTTTTTTCATTATGTTCATGTTCAAACTAAGTTATCATTCACCCTCTTTATGAAAATTAAAGAGACATGACAAAACATAGATTATCAAACCAGAGCATTCATAATGCCTTAATAAACATTTATAGACTCAGCACATTCATGTTACTATTATTGTTATTGTGTGCCGTCTTCCAGTAGGTTCAGACTCTTAGCAGCCCTGTATAGGGTTTCCCAAAGTGACTGGTGGGTTTGAACTGTCAACCTTACAGTTATCAGTCCATTTGTTGTTGTCAAGTGTCAAGTCAGTTCCGACTCACAGCAACCCTTGACAGGATTTCCAAGGAGGGGCTGGTGTGTTTGAACTGCCAATCCTGTGACTTGAAGTCTAGTGCTGATCCTACAGCACCACATCAGGTGTTCACTGCTTACCCTAAATTCATCTGTTGGCTTTATTTATGCTTTGCTGGCTTTATTTATGATCTTTTTATATTCCCTACATCTAGTCAGAACTTAAAACTGAATCAGAAGCCTATACAAGCCTAGAATTTACCATACTGTTTATATATATATATATATATATATATATATATATTATAAAATATATAATCATCTGAGAAAGGACTGAATATAAAAACTGCAACCCATCTTTTGAGTTCCCAATTTCAAAGCAAATAATAATGCATATAGAACTTCTGGTGTGGCCCTGGGGTTAATGCACTGAACTGCTAAGTCAGTTTGATTCATAAGGTCAGCAGTTCAAGCTCACTAGCCGCTCTTGGAAACCCTATACAGGACCACTATGCGTCAGAACTGACTCAATAGCACCAACAATTTAAGCCAAGGATACCACTCTCATCGTCTGACAGATACCCATTTTACCCAAAGTATGTTGATGTTGTAAGCCAATGGGTCAATTCCAGCTCAGAGCGACCACAACAGGGTTATCCCAGGAGTGGGTGGTGAGTCTGTACCACGGACCTTGTGGTCAGCAGTGCAGAGCTTATCCTACAGTGCAATGAACCCAGAAAAATTCACAGGCTTCTGTATCTTCTTACTAGGAATTATACAAAGCTCTCATTGGTTACGAGTCGGGCTGCAAACCTTCAGGCTAGCAGTGCGAAACCACCAGCAGTTCCGCAGGAGAAAGATGAGGCTTTCAGCTCCCGTAAATATTCACAGCCTCTGAAACCCTGTACAGGGTCGCTATGAGTCGGAACCGACTCCACCACTACCACTCATCACTTTTAGATAAACAACTGCATTGCTGTTGTTGTTAAGTGCCTTCTAGTCGTTTCTGATTCATAGCGACCCTGTACAAGGGTTCCGAGGAGCAACAGATGAGTTTGAACCACGGACCTTGCAATCCTGTGCAGTATCCCACAGCAACAAGCAGGGCTCCAAATACATATAGCAAAGCTAGCATAGTAGGGTACAATGTACCTGTTACATACTTAAGTACTGACAACTAAGAAAAATGGCACACATTTGTTTTCTACCTTGCTAAGGTCGGCAGTCCAAACCCAACAGCTGCTCCTTGGAAACCCTGTACAGGGTCGCTCTGAGTCGGAACGGAACCGATTCGACGGCACTTAACAACAACAATATTCACTCATTAAACCAATACTGTGATTCAGGCACTGGTATAAATTCTGACAAAGCAATGAGCCAGGCAGATCTATCCCTACAACCTCCTACATAACCTGTTACTGTCGTTAAGTAGCACTTTCTTAGTTCAGTAATTTTTCAACAGTTTCAAAAGAAGGTATTGCTTATAACGTACTGCATATAAAAATTACCTGTGCAAAATTATCAAAAGAGTAACAGCAAGGAGGCTCACTTTCCTAGAATTCATTTTTACAAACTCAATTACTAGTGTAAAGCACTGAGCCGATCGTCCAATTAAGCAATGTGAACAAGTTCTTGGTGCACAATTAAAATGAACTGAGCTGTATACTTTGAGGTCTTTAACCAAAAGGCAAAAAGAGCCCATACTATTGTTGTCCATTATCACCATCACCACCAATAACATAGCTGTCTGAAGACTGGTTCACTTAAAGTACAGGCTTAACTTTCCCTCAACGTGAATAAAAATGGAATCACCCAAACTTTGTCTATTAGCTTTGGTGGCTGTCCCGAAATTCACATTATGAACGTCATTCTCTTTCTTCTGACATTTACAAAATATTTTTAGCAAAGCACATTTCATAAAAATATCAGACAAGGCGAGGCCTAATCTGCAAATAAAGGCCTGACGCTCGACGAGTCAGAATTACTAGGTGTAAAAACATATATAGAAAACTACCTGCTTACCTGGGCCCCGAATTTCTCCCAAATTCAGCAATTTGAAACTTTCCATGAAACCTACACAAAACCTGATTACAATCTGTTATCATCCATAGGCCATCAACAAAACTGAAAAATTGGCAGACTTCTGCGCGCACTCTCAAAGGACACCACCGACTCCGGCTGGCCGCCACCGTCTCGCCGGCCCGTTCCCAGCCAAGCCTCTCTACCGGGAGGACTCGAACCCAGCGCCCTCGCAGCTTGTCCCCTCCCCGCCATTGCCTAGGCAGCCCCCACCCCCTCGAACCTCCACCATCCCTGAAACCACCCAGTGAGGATAACCAAATTTCCGGGGACTCGGGGGCCACTTTCCCCTGTATTTCCCGACCACCCCACAAGGGCAGAGAAAGACATACCTTCCAGAAAAGTAAGCTCCCCAGCGCCGTCGCCGCTCTTGCCGGCCGCCATCTTCCTCCTCCCACGCCTCCTCCTTCTTAATCCATGGCCCGCACCGCCGCCACACTCGCGGGGATGAGGGGCCGCGCCGAAGAAGGATAGCCGCCGCAGGATTGCGGGCCTTGGGTTCGGCCGTCAGGCGGGCGGCGCTCCCACTTCCAGACAGGCCTACACAAAAGCAGGCCAGGCGCTCCCGGGCCTGTGTGCGGGCTGGCGGGTGGAAAGGCCCGTGGCCTGAGCTTCTCAGGCCCCTCCGGGGGAACGCGAGCGACGGCGGCGGCGACGGCGCTTCCCGGGCCGTGTTCCTCTCGGCCCAAGACTCCCCATCCACCGCCCACCTAAGCCGCTTAAGAAGCTTCCCCTCAGCTGTGGGACCCCAGGAAGTAAGGGTGAAGGCAAGCACGCAAACACGCCTCCCCTCGCCCCGGGCAGTAAAATGGCCGCACCAGCCGCACCGGGGCGGAGAGGTCTCCACGACCGTCAGGCACTCCCAGGTCCCTCGGTGTTTCTGAAGCCGCGGCAACTACGGCCGTCCGCCCACCCCGCCCAGGCGCGAGTGCATCAGCGTAGGCCTTTGCGACTGTCCATGTGGACAGGGGTGGGTCTCCTCTGCCACCGCCTCGCGTCGGTCGCTACAGCAGCTTTAGCCACCGCCGCCGCTCCTCCCCCACGGGCGCTGGAGCTGCCGCCTGGCTCCCGCCCCCGCCCCGACGCCGCCGTAGCCCCCCGTGCGGCTTCGCTGGAGCCCGGGCTCGGCTCGCGGGCGGAACGGGCTGCGGCACCGCACGGAACACCGACTTGGGGCGCCCGCCGCCGGGGCTCTGCAGGGTCGCCTTGCGTGGCGCCGCCTGGCCTATACACTTTCGTCCAGAATCCCGACCGCCGAAGGGCCCTGGCAGAGCTGGCGTGTGAGCGCCTCTGAGCCGGGCCGGTGATGTATTGGGTCCTGTGGCTCCACAAATGCCTAAGAAATATTTATTTTCTTTAAGGAGTCCTTAGAATTTAATCCATAGCCAATTGACTGGAAAGGGTAGTGAGACAATGGTCTGTGGTCCACATTTGTTTTTAAAGAACTTGTCGGAGTAATTTATCAGGGAATATGTGGATATGTGTGGCAGGACACTTTAGAGGATAGTGTTTTGTTTTTTAAAATTCTTTGCCATTTGTTTTGAGACAATCAGGTTTAATTATTTTGTGTTTTTTTCTTTAACTTTTAAATTATAAGTATAATAACTACTTATTAATGAAACATTCAAAAACCTAGAAATAGAAAAAAGCCATCTATAATCCCACCACCAAAATTTAAAGTAGTTCTCTAGTTAACAAGCAATTTCTATGAGTCAGAACCGACTCCACGGCACATGACCACCACCACCACCCCTCTTAAGAAAAAAAAATGCTACATGTCAATGAACATTAAATAGTAATTAAAATGCTGCAGAAAAACTATGGTTAAGGACAATATTTAGGGCATGAGCTCCTTATACAAATTCAATTGTCCTGTGAAGCAAAACTTAGGCAGAAATTTATTGTTTAAAACTTCTTTTAAAAACTTTTCCTAAAACGAAATAGTAATATTTTCTAATATGGGAGAGGTAGTGCAATGAATATAATTTGTTATTTCTTGTTGTCTGAGGATTTTACACGATCCAGTGGTGCTGCTTTATGACAGAGTCTGTGCCAATGACAGTATAATAGTTTGCTGTTGTTGTTATGTACCGTGGAGTCGGTTCCGAACCGATTCGTAACCACTATGCTACCAGAGGCTCCTTGTATAATACTTAGGTGTGTAGATAATAAGCAGATGTGGTTGACTAGACTTACATGTACTGACTCCAAATATAGTTTTTGAAAAAACAAATGTCTGATGTACATGCTGTGTTTGAAGTTGGAGAAAGAGCCATGGCCTTGGGAAGCTGGGAAAGGCAAAGATACTGATCTCCTTATTACCTCCAGAAAGGAAAACAGACACGTGGATATTATTCCAGTGACATGAGTATTGGACTTGTGACTTACAGAAATGTGAGATAATACAGTTGGGTTTAAGCCACTAAGTTAGTATTTGTTACAACTAGGATAGACAAATGGAATGTGAAATAAGGTGGGAACTTGTTAGAAATGCAAATTCTCAGAGCCCACTTAATACTCATTGAATCAGAAATTCTGGGGGTGGGATAATCAGGTTCAGTAAGCCCTCCAGGTGATTCTGATGCAACACGGGACCACACTTTGAGAACCATTAGATTGAACAAGATCTAAATCCCTTTCCAGTTGAATTATTCTACAATTTAGGAGTTAAATGATATGTTTCTATATTCAGGTATAATATTAAGGATCTTTTTAACTACTTTTTTACATATTAAAATGATCAACTAGAAATTTATATCATGCATTCTTTCTTGCAGAATTCAGGGCCTAGCCTAAATATTTTCCGATTTCGCACACTTTCCTGAAACCCAGATATAGGTAGTATACATTGTTGTTAGTGGTGGTTGTGTGCCACCTAGTTAGTTCCGACTAATAGTGACCCTGTAAATCTTTACGAGAGCAGAAAGCCTCAACTTTCTCCTGCAGAACAGCTGGTAGTTTTGACTTGCTGACCTCGAAGCTATCAGCCTGATGCAGCATCACTACACTACCAGAGCTCCTTATACGTTGTTATGTGCCATTAAGTCGATTCCGACTCATAGGAACCCTATATAGGGTTTTCAAGGAGCTGCTCGTGAGTTTGAACTAACAAGCTTATGGTTCAACTGACCTTTCAGTCCAGAGCTTATCCTACCGCACTATGCCAGGACTCCTGTTAGTATACTTACAAATATATATTTAACATATTTGCAGAGTATATCTAAAGAAAATAGCACCTATGGCAATTAGTTTTAAATTGCTGGATGATTTCACAGCTGGTGTTGAAAACTGGGATGAGGAATGTTGTTGTTGTGAAGTGCCGTCGGGTCAGTTCTGACCCACAGCGACCCTGTTTAGGGTTTCCAAGGAGGAGCTAGCTGGTGAGCTTGAACCACTGACCTTGAAGTTAAAACGGCTTTGCAGCCTGGCACATTAACCCACAGCGCCACACCAGGAATAAAAACTTATTGGTGCCCCTCCTCAAGAGAACCTCAAGTCACATACCATACCTGCCATACCCTAAATACACTTCTGTATGGTAACTGTCCTCCATTAGCAGTTCTTTGAGCCCTGGTGTGGCACTGTAGGTGGATATTCACTATCCACTAGCCGTAACCCTATAAAGGTCACTGTGAGTTAGTTCCAACTCAACAACACACAACAACAACTTCTTTGTACTTGCCATATTTGATATTAAATGAGGTGAGGTTACTGTGGATGCCTTTGAATGTCACTTACAAGACTAAAAGTGCAAAACCAGATTTCTGAGGTATACATTTCATTTTTGTTTAAAGTTTTACATGTCTTTATCATTTAAACTTAGCAAATTCCATCAAGCTCTTATCATCTTAAGCAAAATTTAATTCTGATATATAATGAAGAAAATTTAGACTATTTTAGGTTTGCATGGATGGGTAAGTACTGCCAAAGAGAGAAATTTATATCATGTATTCTTTTTTGCAGAATTCAGGGCCTAGCCTAAATATTTTCAGATTTTTCATTTAAACTTAGCAAATTCCATCATATATTAGGCCTAGCCTTACTTTGATTTTGTGGGTTTCTTATCACAAAACCAAATACTCACTTTAAAGAATTCCCTGACCTAAATTAACCCCCCCAGCACCTCTCCTTTCATCTGAAGTTGCAAATCCTTTCTGAAACCTGATTTATAAATTTGAATCTGAAACGATATGCCTGTGGTATGTGTGTGTGTAGGGACAGAGTCTATATTGTGAATTGATAATCCTTGATCTTAGTACAAGGTGAGGGTGAGGGAGGGTTCAATCAATCATGTTAAGATTAGCTAGTTTTCTATACTCATTATAAACTCATTGTACCTAATTTCTTTTCATCATTTATTTTTTTCTGGAATCAAGATTGTCTCCTTATATGCATATAAAATAACTGCTCAGAATAAACCTTTAAACAAATTTTGGTGACTTTTCATTATTTTTAACATTGAAATGGATATAATTGTTGTTAAGTGCCAGTTCTGACTAATAGCAACCCTCTGGTAGCTAGCTGTCCAGTGCTTATCCTGATGTGCCACATCAGGACTCTAGCTGCTTGATTTTTTTCTAATTATCTTATTAAAGAAAATGGGAAAAGGAAAACAAAACAGGATCCTACCACCTCAAATTCTAGCCCTAATGTATTATCTTCTCTAGTATTTTTTTATCCACTTAGTTTGGTCACCTACTCCAAAGGTAACATCTTGAACTTGCTTCTCTTCCAAATTCAATAATTCAAATATCCCATCTCCAACCACAACCACTATGATTGTTTTCAACCTCACTGATTTCTGCATTTTCTCTCTCATCTCTACTCTCTCTACTCAATTTAGATTCCATGCTACATTATTTAATTTGCTTTTTCTTGACTATGTTCAACTTCCTTGCCTCTCTGTTCTTTCCTGGTGTCCCTCTCCTAATATTCTTACTCTCAATAAACCCATTTACTGTCATCTCCTTGTTGGAATATAGCAGGGTCAACTTTGCTGAAGAAAGTAATTCAACAGAGAAGATTG